GCCCAAACTTCATTAAATCAGTCGCCATTTTTACAGGAAGCAAGATCCCACTGGCAAACTCTCATTTTTTAGATGTTATAAATATTCAAAAAATGATTTTAAAGTTTTCATCAAATAATGTAGATTTTTTCTCATGGGCTCTCGGACTATTTGGGTTGCTAGCAAGTGTATACTAATCATCATCATGGCATCACCTAAACTCAGCAGTTGACAATATTGATTTGGGTACATCAACGTCCAATAAAAAAATCAGTAGCTCATAAGAAAACCATTTCCCGTTTTTGGTAGGAGATGAGCCATTCTGTTCTTACTGAAGTTTTTTGCCGACAAATTCTTAATTATTTTTTATCTCTATCACCGTACAATTATATTTTCCTATTTAAATAAATTTACGATTAATAGATAAACCAATTATTTTTACCTGTATCACCGTACAATAATTATATCTATCTATCTTTGTATTCGGCGATTTCATTATTCTTCTGAATTATGGTAATCGCCAATAAAATAAATAGGTTTTTTGTTAGTCCACTCCATGTTATCCGCAACAAGCCGCACCAATCCGAGGGCTGTTGGATAAACGACAACACGTTGAATCATGTAGAGTGATGACACATCGACAGGCAACAACGGTCAACTTGTAGCATGCGGCGAGGAGACATCTTTTTTGTCGCTTTGTGTTCCTTCTATGGAAAGACCGTATGTAGCATGCGTCAATGCCGCATGTTGCCTCAGTAGAATTCCGCCTTAACATATCGCCTGGCTAAGTGAAGCGACACGAGGGTTATGTGTTTGGGTTGTCCCCTAAGATCTTTGTAACGCTTTTTTGAGCGAACTGCTGAATCGATTTTGAAGTTTAATGGCTCAAATTATTCGGTGAGATCACATGAGTGTCTTGAAACAATTTGACCTAAAATTACTAAATCATGATTGAAGAATATGTGTTTAATCGATTTGCTGAAAGATATGTAACGATTTTTTGAGCCAATGGATGGATTGATTGATTCCTTTGGGCACCAACTAAACATTAAATAAAATTTGTGCAAAAATTAGGGGGAATTTTGTTTTCTAATTTATATCAGCTCAGATTTCGGTCTTCCTGAGAAGTTAGAGTGAAATCCCAACTTTTTCTCAATGAAACTTCTTATAGCTTTTAAAATTTTAAGGATTAATTTATAACATTTTAAAAAGTACTGAAAGAAGTGTATCTCTTGAAATATCATGGGAATTTATGGATCCGACTAATTGACCTAGATAGTGGTGATCATTATTAATTATTGTATCCATAAATAATAAATTAATTCATGATTAAATTTCAACAGTAATTTCAATTAAGTATTCATGTCTAATGGCCATAAGTATTTAAGCAACAGTGTAATACAAAAAATATTCATTTGGAACAAAATATATTTTCATTTGTAGAATGCATCTGATGTCATTTTTTACTTAGTCAACAAAAGATAAAATTAATATATCACTTTTAATATACCCTGCGATGACCAAAGCTAGTTTAAAATTTAATATTGAATACCTCTGACAAAATTTAAAAAAAAAAGAAGATATTCCATTATATTTTACTGAAAACAGTTTATTCACCTGAATATTATCGCCCCACATCTCTTCTAACTCAAATTCTTTATACCTATGATAATAGATTCCATGTTAAACCGAAGTAGAAATTTTATTGTGTGCCTAGTCAGCTGTAGTCAGCTTTTAGAAGTTCATAGTATACATTTTACTGGCGTAGAGAAGCGGCGTCCAGCTGTCAGGCTGCAATAAGCTACTAGTGTTGCTAGTAGGGGAACATATACACTACATTTTACGTAAGTACACTGTATACAGCACACTACATTAACCTCCACACAACAGACTAAGGTCATCTACAGTACATACCCTAGGATCACCTTCCCTAGGTAGCCGTCCGGGAAGGGGGAGTGTGTTAGGATATTCTGAGGAGGCAGCCCATTCTCCTAACTCAGGGAGAATAGGCTGATAACCTACTCCTCTTAAAACTTCTTATCACGAAAACTCATGAAAGTACTGAAGCCGGATTGTCCCAAAGGAATAAGACCAGGAACCGCCAAACTGACCAACGTATTGCCTACTCAAACATTTTTTCTCTGCACCGACTAGGAGCCCTTCGGGCGCTTCTTAAAACATAATTGACGATTACCACATTGACGTAGCAGCGATCCAGGAAGTCTGCTGGCTTGGAAGTGGTGGACTTGAGAAAAGAAATGCCACACCTTATACTACAGCTGCCACAAAACCCGGCACTGGATTTATTGTTAGAAAAAGAGCCCGCCAACTGGTCTTAAAATTTACTCCCGTTTCTCCATCTATTCTATATTCACCTTAGAGGGAAATTCTCTATCACCTCTTTAATCAACTGTCATGCTGAGGTCACACCAGAGGACGATAAAGATGGCTTTTACGAAGATCTCGTGAAAGCTTAAGCGGCTAGTCCCGCTAACGACGTCAAGATAGTTCTGGGAGATTTAAATACACAAGTAGGCCAGGAACATGTGCACCGGCCGCCTGCAGGAGCTTTCAGCCTACACAAATTTACTAAGAATAATGGTCAAAGGCTGATTGACTTTGCAAACTTTCAAGGACTAGTTGTAGGAAGTACCAAGTTCCCAGGAAAGATGATACATAAAGTTACGTGGAGATCACCAAATGGAGCCGTCTCTAATCAGATCGACCATATTCTCATTATTAAGCCTTACCTCATTGGAGTCAGAACTTACCGAGGAGCCAATGCAGACATGGATCATTATCTTAGCATTGCCAGGATACGTGCAAGGATCTCAGCTATGAGGAACAAGATTGGGCCGATGCAGGAAAAATTCAACGTCTCCAAGTTCTGTTTTTGTTCTTCCCTACCTCACATTTTAGGCTATACAGGTTTTTTTCGGACCGGAGAATTTAAAATCCTGGTGCTGTGCACACGCGTTAGCCCATTCAGTCACCTGCCCCTCAACATCTCCAAGCTAAAGGATGTGGTTGTATGTTAAGGCTATCAGGAGAAGCTCATACACAGCTTGCGGTAGAATTGAGAAGCAGAAATGACACTCCTGATGAACAGGAGACAGGAATATCCCGAGCTCTGAAGACGGGAGCTGAAGATATGCTAGGCCGCCAAACACGCAGCACAAGATCCCTCTGGTTTGACAATAATTGCTTAACTGCTACTGTTAAGAAAAATAATGCATACAGGAAAATGGTGCAGCGGCATACAAGGAGAACACAGGAATGTTACCGCGATAGAAGTAGAGAGGAGAAGCGTGTTCATCTGAGGAAAAAGAGAATGTGGGAGAACAATAAGATGGAAGACATCGAATCCCTCAGAACTTCACAAGATAGTCGACTCTTTTTTCAACGGGGGAATGAGGGACGAAACCAAGAGTGACATCATGCATGGACGAAGAAGGATGCCTTCTAACGGATAAGCAGAACATCTTGAAGCAATGGGATTCTCACTTCAATAAGATACTCTAAAAAGAAGATGTGGAGGAAGGTGCTGAAACAGACAGAGATGAAGACACGCAGGATTATATGGAGCCACCTGATGAAGAGGAGGTTGAAGTAGCCATTGCGAAATTGAAGAATAACAATGCGCCAGGACAGTACATTCAAGCAGAGCTACTGAGGTATGGTGGACCTGACTTCAACAAGGATCTTCACAATCTCATCCTTTCTATTTGGCAAGAAGAAAGAATGCCTGAGGAGTGGACAAAAGGTATTATCTGCCTGCTCCACAAGAACTATTTACATTGCGATTGACGGTAGAAAAATACAAAGAGTATAACATCGTAATCTTTCATCTCTTTGTCAATTTCAAATCCGCATATGACAGTGTTGCCTGACCGGAACTTTATCGGGCTCTAAAAGAAATGAACATCCTGATGAATTAGCGAGACTGATTAAGATCACAATGGCGAGCTCAAAGTGTTTGGTGTATGTGGACATAGATCTTTCTGACTCTTTTCTCACAAAGTGTGGTATTAGGCAGGGAGACGCTTTGGCCTGTCTTTTTTTTAATTTTTCAGGGGAGAAAGCTGTAAGGAATTCTGGAATCCAACTCCGATTAACAGCACTGTTTATCAGCACAGTCCAGCTTCTGGGATACGCGGATGATTTCGATATTGCTACCAGATTGGAACGGGCTTTACGAGGATCATTCCTGGCTCTGGAAAATGCTTCTAGGGATCTTGGCATAGTTGTTAATGATGATGCGGATGAAGATGAAATACATGCGGATTGGAGGAGCCGAACCAGGAGTTGGATATTTTGATGCAGAAGATTACCGTTTTCAGAAGGTAAGCAGCTTCACCTATTTAGGTTCAAAAATCAACTCCCAAAATGACATTACCCAGGAAGTAAAGAAAAGGGTTGCAGCAGCTAACCATTGCTACTTTGTCTTGCTAAACATTTTAGAAGTAGAATGTTCCCTAACCAGACCAAAATCAAGTTATATAAGACCCTGGTCCGCCCAGTCGTCACTAATGGCTCAGAGACTTGGGCGTTCACAAAGGCGGATGAGTGCAGGCTGCTTGTCTTCGAGAGGAGCATTCTTAGATGGATTTTCGGTCTTGTTAGACAGGACAATGTCTGGAGAAGAAGGAGAAACGTCGAACTAACAAAACTATATAACAATGTTTACATAGTCAAGTTAGTGAGGCTAGGATGACTTCGATGGGCAGAACATATGCAATGGATGGCTGCCAACGATATTCCTAAAATGATCTTCACCGAAGAGCTCCACGGGATGGATGGACTCGGTCTCTGCAGACGCGCAGGGCCTTCTTGGAGTCCGAAACTGGAGAGCTGCAGCAAACAACCGAACAAACTGGAGGAGACTTTTGGAGGAGGCCCAGTCTCGTTAACGGGATGTCGCACCACTTATATATGTATGTATAGTATACATTTTATGACATAAGATGGTGAATTAAAAATTTATGATTTACCAATAGAATAACAACAACTAGTAGATAAAATTAGTACTATGTTAAATTTTGTATAGGTTAAGGGTATAGAATAAACAAAAACAATTTTTGCATAGTTTGTTGTTTTTCTTTCAATATATATATAATGAAATAAATAAAATGACTAAATTAAATAGTTTAAAAATACTGTTCAATCACAGATAATTCCAGTTATACTGTTCAGAAATAAATGTTTTCAGTAATAAATAAATAAAAATATATCTATGTTACATAAAAACACGAAGCCTAGAGCCCCACCTTTTAAAAAATTCAAAAATGAGACCATTAGTCCACCCAAAGCCTGTTTGTCCATCATATTCTCCACCACCACCTGTCTTTCCAGCTTCAAGAGAATCATACTAAAAATAAATTAAAAAAAAAAAATTAAAATTGATGTTATTTTGGTATAAGGAGGGGTCTCCAAACTAAGGCTCGTGAAAGTTTATTTGACGAAATAGCAAAATTTTTAAATTTTTCACAAGGTTACTATAACTTTTAATGTATTATTTTTTTCTCCTCTTAAAAATCTCATTTCACAACTCAAGAGACATTTATAGAAATGTATCTCAGCTTTTGACAAATTAGGTAAAAATCATGTTTTGTCCACCATAGTTTTTGCACTCAACCAAATTGTTAAGTTATGGGACTAATTCGATACAAAATTTATTATTCTTAATTTTTTTTTTTTTTTTTTTTTTTTTTTTTTAGCTGCTAAAAGTTTAAAAGTTTTGCACTCATAAACAGGGCCCATCGCGGGGTGGGGCGAAGTGGTGACATGATATGATGGTTCTATTATCTCCCATCCTTGCAGACATGCAGCCCCCATAGATTTTAAAGTTAATCCAGCAATAAATGTCAATGAATAGTACGTTCAGTTCAATTCAGTGAATAGTAAGTTCTATCTCCTGCTCTTACATGCAAGAGGTGCCCTTAGATTGATGTACTCCAAATAGAGTGAGTAAAGTACATAATCATTTCAATTGGTAGTTTTATTTTTTATATTTTTATTCTATTTATCATCTAAATTCTATTAAAACCATGGTCCAGAGTAGAGAATTATAAATCCTTAAAAATGTAGAGAGATGAAGATACATTACGTTTTCATTAACGGAAGAAAAAAATTAATACAAATTTTTAGGCAATGTCCAGTAGATGAAAAGCAAATTATTATTTGTGATTTGAATTTTTCTATAGAAATGTATGATTAATGATACTTTACCATAATTTATTGATCAGTTTTATAGGATAAACATTTTCCTTAAGTACATATATAATGTAAGTATATGTATATATAAATGTATATGTAACTGTATTTATATAACTCCAAGAAAATATTTTTGGGCTTTAGAGCGAGGGAAGGAGGGCATCGCAAGACTTGGATTGAATACACAATAAAAATATAAGCTATTGAAAAATTATAAATAATAAATATGCTCGTAAATATAAATAAAAGTATTGAGACAATAATTTCAGTAGGTTATAAGAAGTCTTTGTAATCGTAATTCAAACAGAATACCACATACTGTCTTTCAAGTTTCTTTTTTTCTTTGTTTTTCATTTTGATATTTCTACTCTCCTCATTCATATAGTTCTGTGACATTATGTTACCTTTAAAATGTAAATAAATTTCAACACTAAAATTTACTTGAGAAGTTCATACTAAGCAATCTGAGATTTTAAGTATTTAAAAGGCCAGAATCCAATTCAAATAGTTAAATAGAATCCAGAATAGTTAAATTTAGACGAATGAGTGTGAAAATATTTGGAGATTAAGACCCGAAGAGAATGAAAATAAAAATAGGCCATTTTTTATATTTATTTATTTATCTAATACTTATCGATTGCATTAAATTTAAATATAGAGTTTTTCTTAGTAAAAATTATATTATTATTTTTTTGTGAATGCTTACCAACCTTTATGATTGACATTAATATCTGTTAATAAATATTTAGTGATTTTTATTTATAACCTGCAATAATTCGAATCTATGTAGAAAAATGATTATGAATCAGATTTGACTTTATAGAGGGGTAAGAGAAAGGGAGAGGGGAGGAGCACCCATAATCCTAATAGGGGGAGGGCTACCCTGCTCATGTATATGTATACAAGCTAGAAAAATTAAAACTTCTACCAAATTTTTCACATTAACCCTGTTTTGAACCTCAAATGCCTAATAGAATATTTTTGAAATATTCTCTAATATCTATTTTTGAAATATTCCCTAATATCTATTTTTGAAATATTCTATAATTTCATGCCCTAGCTCTACTTTATGATCAATTTTTAGAAAATTTTAATTTTTTTATGATTACATGGTGAATATGATTAATGTGTTGATTTTCTGATTTTTAAAAATCAATTATAAAAATTCCTGAATTACTATTACAGGAAATAAAGAAAAAATGTTGATGGTTTTATGCTGATATATCTATAACATCGATATTTGAATTTCAATGTTTTTGAACATTGATGTATTGATATGTTTTTATTTTTACAAACCAAGATCCACATGACTTAGTGGAGGATTCAATACCCCCAAACCATGTTTGGAGACCCCTGGTATAATCTATAAATTAATCCAAAACTGAATACCTTTTCAAACATGAAACCTGTATCTTTAAATCCTTTGTAACTTGATTGAACAAATCGATTAGCAAAGAAAAAAGCTGCCTCTGATGCTGGGACTGAGCCGATCCTATCAAGTCCCTGTATAAAAAATGCTTGAAGTGGTGGCCAAGCATTAGGAAAATCCCATTGTTCTCCAGTGTACTTTAGTGAGGAAGGAGTCCCACCTAAGTCCATAATAATGATAACATATCATCATTATAAAAAAAATATATATATATTTATATAGGCACAATTTTCTATAATTTGCCATTTTAAAGAATATATTATGCATTAAATAAGAAATTAAACAAACTTTAAATTGAAAGAATTTTCATAGATCTATACTATATTTTAATAATCTAATGAAGAATCCTGAGAAACTTAAATAATAATCTTCATTTAATGTATTAATATAAGAAAAATAATTTAAGAATACAAACCAGGGTAATGTTGCAAATTGTGTTTCGTGATATAGTTTAAAACTATCCTGGTTAATTCCATTGGTAAAAGCCTGTAAGATTTTGTCCATAATGGAACAAAATTAGATAAGTAGAAATAGTTTCTAGATTGCTGATGAACTATATCATAATCAAACCAAAACTCCTCTTCTTTGTTCCACAGAATCTGAAAAATCATAGTGTTTGGTTGAAGATTCAAAATATAAGTTTCACGTAATCCATAATTTTTGTTGTGAAATCACTTTCCATAGGAAGTAGTCGAAATAGAAGAATTTCATGTTTGACCTTTGTATCATTCAAAAAACATAGATATATAGCCAGAAAAAGGAAGTGTTTGCTATTATTGGCATGCATAAGATTTTTTAAAAAATTATTTGTTAAGAAACAGTAAAAAATCTCAATTGATTCAGCTAATGAGCAAAACCAACTACATCGGGTTTGCAAAAGAACATATGGTATATGAATGAAAAAGTGTTTATTATACTAAAAAAAATACAAAATAAAATATATATATACAAGCAACAACACATAGACAATGGAAAATTTTGTCTGTTGAGGTCTGTGTGCAATTAATAATAAATATTCATTACATTTATAACTAAAATAAATGAGTAATAATATATCTAGAGTATTATTATATATTTATACATCCATTCTAGCAATTTCTTCCTTCATTGTTTCATTTGTTTAAATAGAGTTTTCAAAGAACAAACATTAATATCTCATAAATCCAATAAATAAGAAATTTAATTTCAACAATAATAATAAAAATCAAATACAATATAACAACAAAACAAACGTTACAATAAATAAATACGATATTGCACCAATAGTTCACTAACTGACCAATTGAGATGTTTGCAATATGGACTGCTGTATATAATAGCTTAAGAATTTCCAGTTAGAACTAAACTAAATAATTCTTCTAGAGAACAGGTCTGCTGCCCAAAACATTTCTCTCTTACCTCACTGTACATGTGATGAGTGAAAAGTGAATGATATCCTCTTCTTCTTGAGAGTTCCTACCAGACAGTTAGCGTTGCTTTTAATCATCCATGGTTTTATGCTTAACCATATGGTATTTATTTAAAACAATGTCTCTACACCAAATCCTCTGTTTTCAATGTTTTTTTTGTTTTTTTAAAAGAAATTTACTAAATCATTAAACAAAATTGTACAAGATCACCTTATGTTTTTCAGAAATCTAATTTTTGTATCCCTTGTAACTTTTTTCCAGTTTCTTTTTGGGAAGTATTATATACATAAATTTAAAGAGCTTCAAGGAGAATACTTTACCCAAGTTTGGTTAAAATCATTATGTCTGTTTAGGTGCTACATTCTTTAGCGGTGTAGGTTTTTTGGCCACTATTTTGAAAAGAAAGGTTGGATAGTAATGTCGAGTTGGGAGATTCACCCTCGTGTGACTTCTGACTTTCATTCTAAATCTCGAAAAAAATCGGTCATGCAGTCTCGCAGAAAAGCAAGAGACAGTGGCCAGACAAAAAAATAATTTTATTGGAATTTTGGATTCTATGTATCATGAAACGTAAAACTTCAAGCTTTGAGGAGTATTAACATTTTGAGTTCTTTGTTCGATTACAATGGTTCATTATTGAAAATAATAAACCAAAATCTACATGAGACTGATATAAAAAAAATTTTACTTACTTCTTCGATTGCCTTTAAAGTTGACTCTGAAAGTCTTGTATATTTTTGAATCTTTTCATTGTCTCCTAATATTTTATACCATTCCAACAAAATAACAAAGTTTCTATGCAACAATGCATTCAAATCAACAGGTATTATATTCTGCGTCATAGTATCAGTTAAATTACCTAAAAATAAATGTTATGAATTGATTTCCTGCTTTGTATGGTACTATAGAAAGAAGAAATTTAGAAATGACATTGAAATTGAAGTTACTGCAAACTATCAGTAAAATATGAAAGGATAATATTTAGACTTAATATATTTCCATTCATTACCTTTGCTTCTGAACTATAAACATCAGTAGGGAAATATATATATGCTTGTTTTAAATTAAAGTGTTGAGTTTTAGACCAACAAATTTTTTACTATTAATTAATAATTTATAGTAATCTATTATTAATTAATATTTTGAATTGTTGATATATCATTGAAGAATTTCTCCTTCAGAGCAGAGATAATATTTCAACAAGTAGTAACAAGGGTAACAAGCTATTATGGTCTCTATGGAAATGAAATGGCAGATAAATTTGCCGAAGAAGGAACATCACTAGAGCAGCCAGAAAAGCGGATGTCATTCCAAACAGCTAGGGATGAAATAAAAAAGGCAAAACAGATTGCATTCATGGATGCTGTTGTGGAATTTTGTATGATCACTGGCCACGACTAACTAAAAAAACATTTTTTAAACTATGAGAAGGAGTTAGTTGAGGGTGCGGTCAAATAAATGGATTATTTATTTGACCGGATTTATTTATTATGGATTATTTATTTATTTGGTTATTTATTTTACCGCACCCTCAACTAACTCCTTCTCATATCATATCAACGGTCAACTATCTCTACATCATTTTTTAAACTAGTTGTTGCAGACAGAGGAATCTTAAAATAGTTGTCGCAGACTCCTCTATTTGCTTTGAGCATAATTAAAAAAAATGGGCATTGTATTTTTTCATATATTTGAACCTGTTAAGAATGAAGGAAACCAGAGAATGACACGCTATAACAAGGAGATCTATGAAATCTACGAGAAAGTAAACATCATACATATTATGGTTGACTGAGATAAGCAGGCCATGTACAAAGGATAAGTGAAGAATAAATTCTCAAGAAATTACGGTTTGGGAAATTGGACCAGTTGAGAAGAAGAGGAAGACAGAAACAAGTATTTATAACTTGTATGAATTATATATATTATAGATTGTTAGTAAAAGAAAAAATAAAAGAAATAAATTCATACCTTCATTTGAACCTTGCTTTACAAACCACCTTGAAGAGAAATCCCAGCCTGATTCAGCAGCAGACTTTATTGCAATATAACGAATAAATCTTTCAGTTTCATTGGAACACAGGGCTGTTGTTTCAAAGTCCTCACTGCAAATTTATATTTCGATATTAATATTTTTCAAAACTGAAATAAACTCAGTGCCATCAAGCAGAAAATTTGAACTATGAGAGAATTTCGATTATTGAAAAAAAAAGTTTACACTTAATTTATACTAAAATCATGCAACTTCTTTATGGTTTTCGATGATTTATAATTCTTAATACATAAAGTGTGAAATTAAATGTTGATGATATACCGATAATTGCCTTTTAATTAGTTCAAACAGTTTCAGTCTGATGGCAATTTTACTAATTTTGTAAGAAACTAGAAATTTCTGAAACTCATATTAATCTAATTTTAGAAAATTTAAAAGTCTTAACAATATATTTCAGAGAATAGTAGAATGTAAATAAAATGTATAATAAATGGAAATCATTAAACTAACAAAAAAAAAAAAAAATATATATATATATATATATATATATATATATATATATATATATATATATATCATAACATATATTAGCACATTTAATATTATTTTAAAACAATGATATTGTACCTGTAAGATTCTGGACGAGGGCCAGAAGATGGTGCAAAGTATCTATATAAAGTATAAGTTACTCCATTTTTCACGATGTTAATAGACCTTTTGTCAAGCCAATAGTTGATTTCTTTATCTAACACCTGAAAATGATGATAAATGGCATAAATAAATTAATATATAAACACAGAAATAAAACGTTAACAATTTGCAATAAATACTTACTTCTATATTGTTTTTGATAAAATTGAAATCTCCTGTGTGCAAGAAATAAGATTCCACCATTAATGTTAACATCGGAGGTTGGGATCTTTGCAAATAATAAACTCTGCTACCATTAGGAACATGTCCAAAAATTTTCACTAGATAAAGTAAATTTTCTATCACGCCTGAAACAAGATACTATATAAATGACTTCTACAACTTTCTAAATTAATAGTTAAGGGATGGTGGGATTGACCTTTCTTATTTTACTGTTTTATTGTAGAAAAAATTGTTGAAAAGCTAAAGCTTAGTTAGAAAGCTAAAACTTTTACCCTTTGTGCTCTTCTTGATGAGTATAAAAAAATTTACATTGAAAGAAGCAAAATTTCTTACAGTCATATGCATACATCCATGTAATATAAATGAATTATTAACAGTGTTATGGTTGAAATAGGCATGTAAAGTAATTGAGCTAGATCAGGGGTCATCAAACTTTTTGACCGAACGGGTCATGGCTTTTGATAAAAAAATAAGCTTGTTCTATAAATGACACTTCAGTTGTGAAATGAGCTTTCTCTTTTAACTTTAAGAGAAACAGCTCATATAATAAATGTACTAGTAACCTCATGTTCGAATGATTTAATAATTTCATATTTTTAAAATAGTTTTTTTAAATTTAACCATGTAATCAAAGAAACTCTCACGAGGCAGATTCAGCCCAAAGGCAATAGTTTGGGTACCTCTGGGCTAGATAGTTGTTGGCATCCCGAACAATATTTTATCAGAGCCTTCCTTACATCTCTCCTAATCAGTTAGTAATCTATTTTCTCATACTTTTTTTTTCGAAAACTTCATTTTACTGTAGGCATCCATTGTCAAATTTTCCAATCTCTCCAATTTCAGTTTATATTATTTATTTTATTATTATTATTTACTCCGATTGATGAGCTTATTTTTGAAACGACTAATCCAAGCTGGAAATTTTTTCAGTAAGATGAAAAAATGAATAAGAGTAATATAAAAAAAATATTATAACTCAAGCCTTGCAAAAGAAAGGGATTTATTTGTTCAGTTTTTATATGAAATGATTGAAGGGTTTATTATGGGGTGATTCCGTTCATTTAAAATTAATTTAAAAACTTGAAAAAACTCAATTTATTTTATGAATATTTGCCCTTTTGAAATATTTGCTCCTCAAGCATGCAATATTTTATGAAATCTTACAGTATTAATTGAATCGATTTCTATAATATTTAATAGAAAATAGAAAGTAAATGGGTATTTATCAGTTTTTAGTGTCATTAAATTAATTAATACAATGAGAAAATACTCCATTTCTGAGAATTTTCGTAGAAAAAAAGATTTGTAAGTTGTAATAAGGTGAAGCCATTCAGGAAGTTTTGAGTAATGTTAATAATTTAATAAAAAGTCTGTATCACAGACTAATATATTTTCAATCATTTAAAGAAAATTTACACTACTTCTGCATAAATGATATTTTTAGTTCTACCTCTCATTAGAATAAGTATTTACTCCACAATTTTATACAGATAAGGTAACAAATAGCTGCCTGTGGTAAAAAATAGTCTTCTCTTAAATAGTGTTTAATATGTCCAAGAAAAATTTTTATTCCTATGCTTTATATATTAATATTGTTTAAAAATAAACGTTTTTAGTTTGATCTCATTGACATTATGTGTACTCACATATATATTGTATATTAACTTATGCCATTCAATTTATTAAAAAATTTTACCTTTTGCTGTTTGTACCATATCACAGATAAGAAGACCATTTACTATCCAGTATGTATCCCAATAGTATAGTTCTTTAAATCTTCCACCAGGAATTATAAATCTAAAATAAAAATAAAAATTAATTGCCTAACAGCTTAACATTATGAAATTTTGTCTCATAGAATACTAAGAATTTTATATTTATATTTTTCAAATAACATGCAAAAATCTAATTTAAATATCAGTATTTCCAGAATGAGTATTCTTCTAGACAAGGTTCGTAATGCTGTTGTTGTTATCAGTGCCAACTCTAGATATTCGGCAGCCCCGAGCAATGACTTCATCTCTCCGAAAAAAGTTAAATTTATTTGTTAAGCTGTTTTATATAAGTTAATATTTGAATTTTATTTCATTCACTATGTCTTTATTTCATTTCCTTTATTAATAAGCTAAAATTAATTATTCTAATACACTTTATCATTATTTTGTTTTATTCTTAACAATTGGTGGACAATTCTTTTCCAGTTTGGCACCACTGGACAGTTATTATTATATTAAGATAATTGACCGAATACTAAATTAAATTTCACAGGAGAGTCAAGAGAAAATAAGTAATTTATTAATTTTCATCCATGAACAACATAGAACTATATTGCTTAGATTTAAATTACCTAAATGAGAATAACAAGGTATACACCAAAATTATTTTAAAATATTTTTTAAATTTATTCCTTTATTCAGCGTGGCTTTCCATCAAATTGTATATTGCTATGATTATAATTTTTTAAATAACTTGTTTTTTTAATTCATAGTGGGAATTTTTATATATTTTGTTTTCATCGATTGATTAATTATTATAAACATTTTATTATCCTAATTTTCTATTACAAGCAACTTGGTAAATGGTATAAATAAAATAAAATATTCTCATTACCCATTTGGCACATGAATAATAGAATACAGTTCTGGATTTTCCTTGACATTGTCAGTGACTTTACGACTGAAAGTTTTCCATAAATTATTTAATTTATTTGCCCATTTCCTTAAGTGTTGATCATCAATCTTCTTGAGAATATTCGGGTATTGAGTCCAATCAGATGGGTGCCAGACCTGAAAAAAATATAAACCAGTTTTACATAAAATATTTGAAACTAATAATGGGTTTATACATCAAATATTCTATAAGTGAATAACTATTTTTATTATTTAATAATAAATATTGTTTAAATTGACATACCTTCAATTCATCACCATCTTCAAAATTATCATTGACAAATTGTTTTACAAGTTCCCTTGGAACTTTGTTGAATTTATTAAATTGTTTGAATGTCTCATTATAATTTTCTAAAACCTACCAAACATTAAAAATTAACAGCAGTAAAATATGAAAAAAAAAATTACAACAGATATTCATAATAAACTTCAAATATTTTTTTTAATTCACTTTATTACTCCTAATACAATCAAACTACTTAAGAGCTAACTAAGCTAAAATTAGTGTATAATATTTGCAGGTCTATTAGAGTTTCTGAATTATAGAAATCCATATACATATAAAAATAATAATAATTTTTTAATTAATGTTTCAAGTTAATATGAGAAGATGAAAATATAATGGCTAAAAGTATATATAATTTAAAAAAATATAACTTGCTAGTTCAGTTTTAAAAGTTATTTTTATAATAATAGATAAGTGGATAACTTTAGTATGAAAAATATAAAAAACAAAAAATATTATTAGTAAATTAAACTGTATAAAATGATTTATATAAATTAATGATATATGATAGTTGTTTATACTTACTTGTTTAACTGAAACCTTCAATTTCTTATCTACAAATGTTTTAGAATCTGGATAAATTTTGGCCATTTGAATTGTATGAAGCAGTTCTCCTTTGCAATAGATATCACTAAAATATACCCAAAAAGAATTATTTGTTATTTAAAATCTAACAAAAGGCATTTAAAATTATTTTAAATATATTTAAACAAATGAAAAGAGAGAAAAAAAAAATCTGAAAATACCTCTGGCACGGGGGCTCTGCACATTTGTGTTCTCTAAAAAATATTACTGTAATAAATAAATTAATAAGAGGGTGTAAACAGAGGATGTTCATCTTTTGTCGAATATTTTACTTTTTATATTTCATGTGTTAATTTAAAATTATTTTAATTTTTTTCAAATCAGAAATATCTCAAATCAATAACTATTTATTATTCAAATTTTAAATTTATTAATGTAATTTTTAAAGTATTATTGTGATGAAATCTGGTAAGTGGTTAATATAATATAAAATTTTGATATCCTCTGAAAACACCCATGCTGTTAACTGCAACCACTGCCGGAATCATTAAGCAAATGTCAGAGTGGAAATGACATCCACTAGAAGAATCATCAATCTATAATGGAACAAAATCACTCAACTGTTAAACAAGAGCCCTTCATTTCTCCCCACCAAAACTAATTTTGTTAGCACTTTTTACTGGAATCACATTTCATGGTCATTGTTTTCTTTTCTATAAGTAATGACACCAATTCTTTTATCTAAAAACCTATCTGTGTTTCTTAATATGGAGTAGTTCTGTTTAATTGCAGTGTAATAGCTGTATTGATTAATATTACATTGTTTTTCTCTACATTTTACACTTACCAATCAATCCATCAATAGTGACATTTGCATTAGTCTTTTCGATAAGAAGAAAATTAATAAAATTTAATCTTTTTATGGACGTTATTTGATTATGTAATCTATTCACCATACTGATTTAACTGATTTCTTAAATATTGATCACTCGTTCTTAAACATTTTATGAATTAGTTTTGTGAAAGAAAATTAGTTTAAATATCTTAAAACAAAACATTTCCTTTCTAATTACCTTGATGCACTAGTGATTCAAGAGGGGAGAGGGGAGAAGCTTTTTGGTAGAAGCCCTTCAATAATAGAAATTTTTTTTTTATTGGTCCTCTACAATCTCTAACATTTGAGCCAAATAATTAACTATTACTATATATGCCCTTTTTAGATTATAACACCTGTACTTCAACTAATAAATTTAAGCATGTGCCAAGAAAAATATAAAAATATATCCCTAAAAGTATTATTGTTCATGTAATTACCGTTATAAATATATAAAAATAAAAAAATGAAAAATAGTGAGCCCTCTCCCATATAAATCAAATCTTGAATCCGCTTTTGTCTTGATGTGTTTTGAGACAGCTTAATTGTTTATGGAGAACAAAAACTGGTAAGGTTGCTAGATCAGTCTTTTATTTCCTAAACTTGTTTAAATTTTCTCAAAATCCACCAACTTTGACCCAAAATCTTTAATTATTATTTTTCTACAACATATTAGTATTTATATATTATTATTATTAGATACTATTATTTAACCGAAATGATCCCTCTAGAATAAGATGTGGGCAAAGTAAAAAAAAATTGTTGAATTTTATTTTAAAAAATTATATTAATTTAATTCGATATATTTATTAGTTATATTAATTGACAAATCAGATCAAATTAATTATTAAAAACAAACATAGAACAGTTAAATCATAAATAAACATTTAACAATTAAAATAGGCATTTAAAATTATTAGTTCAAAGTTTTAGCTATTGTTGAGGCCAGATTTATCATTATGACTTCTAGATCCAGCCCAGATAAGCTTAGGTAATGAATGCCTGAGCAAGCACATAAAAAAAAAAGAAAAAAAAAAGAATAAAATACTTAAATTACAATTAAAATGAGTTAAATAAAGTCATAATTTAATCTTCTTTCTTTTATTTTTTATTCAAGAATGTAGAAATGTGATATCATAATGAAGGATATTTGGCCATGGTGACATCTTTTTATCAGCATACAGCACCTGGCAGCATACAGCATCTTTTTATCAGCATAAAAACCGTATGTTAAAGTTCATAGCAATAATTTTACTAATTTATTTATATTAAATAAATATAATTATGATTATAATAGTAAATAAATATAATGGTAAATAAAGACTATTTTCAAACTATTTTTTCCCTCATTTTAATACTTAATTTCTATAAGATAAAAATGGTGAATGCATTTAGCAGTAATTTAAGAAAAATACACTTTAAAAAACTCCAAAAACTTAAGGAGGAAACCCCCAATCAAGCAATCCTACCGTTTTGTACACAGACTTCAGAGGCTGAAACATTACAAAACAAAATTTTAAGAAGTCAATAAAAAAACCGTTCTAGAGACAATCAGCCAAATACAGACCATTGCTTCATAATATATAAGCCAGGCAATGACAGTTAAATGGAAAAGTTACTTCAAATTAAATTTTTTATTATTATTTTTTCTTTATCTTATGCCTTGTTCGTCTAGAGCTCTTTCGACCATGCGACGTCAAGCAGCCCAGTAAATTTCACCTTCTGTCCTGGATTTGTTTCTAATGCCCTGTAGTCCGGGACAAGTCAGTAGATGCTGAGCAGTCATGAATCCTTGTTGACACAGTGGACATGTTGTTGATTCGACAACTCCAATACAGTATAGATAGCTTTGGAGATAGTCATGTCCGGTTTTCATCCTGAACTGTGCAACGGCCTCACTTCTAGGGAGATCCACTGGTACTCTTCAATTTTCATCTAGTAATGAAGCCCATTGCTTCTCCTTTAACTCCAACTGCCGTTTCTGTTCCAGTTCTTCAATGATTACTGTTTTGATTAGCTTCTTTGCCGTCAAGAAAGGGATTGGCATATCTGGCTGATCTTTTCTAGAACCTTCTTTTGCTAATCAGTCAGCATTTTCATTACCTGTCAAACCGCAGCATCCTGGTACCCACTGTAGAATTATAATAATGCTATTTTTATCTTAAAAATTATTGATTTCTTTTAAGATTAGTTTATTGCAAGTTAGAAATGAGATGCTTTATTAGCCGAGCAGGTTAAAGTGTTGCACTTTTTGACATCTTTTTATTAGCTTATTGCATTGTATGTTTGGTAAATAAATTACTAAAAGAAATTCAAGGTCCGTTTTCACATCAATCTTTTATTTGTTTTATTTCTAAACAGGTACAAATGGTGAATGCATTTAATTTAACAGAAGATAAAAAAATAAAATAAAACCGATTTCTCCCTAAAAGAAAAAATTTAAAATTCGATTTCACCCTAACTTTTTCTTTTTTGGTAACCTTGGGAGTTGGCAAATAAGTTTTTGCTGTTGCATTGAGGAGTTTGTACTTTAAAATAGGTACATTACAGAAGATCCTTAAAGGAGAACTAAAGATAATTAAATTAACAACAATAATAATAAGATAAAATCAGTAACAAGATAGACTATATCAAAATAAAAGATAAGAGAAATAGCAAGATAAGATATAAAAAAAAAAATAGATAAATGATCGAATGAACTTATCCATCAATTAACAGTGGCATAACAAGCAACATCAACGAAACATATTTAAATTATCAAGATAGACTATTCAACACATACAATTAGTGAAGCTTCATAACTTACCACACCTGTTAAAGTAAAAATTAACTTAAATAAGAGCTTTTCCCACTGAAAATACCCTGCTAATTTGATAATTAAGCAATAAAATACAGATATCCTTTAACTAATTCATTATTGTATTAGCTCAAGATCTATTTGTTTAGTTTAGAGAAGACTTTGTTGGTAGTCATCTCTGTAGTTAGTAAAAAATAAGAGTAAAGAACTATATTACTGAGAGTATAGAAGCCATAACCTGAATACTATTATAATTATTAAAAAGTTTCTTTCTATAATATCGAAAGTATCTGAGAGGTAATAGAACTATTCTTCTACAATTTCCTTTTCAGTTGATTTTTAGTTGGGCTAACATTATCATAAATAGCAATCTCTTATAACACCTAAGTAGCTATGGAGGATGTTACCATTCATCTCTAAAACGGGATATTTTTAAGCTTTAAAGAAAAATTTCTGGTCTTGATATCAGCATACAAATCTTTATAACACAAATAATTCCGTCTCGATTCATCGAATTTTTAAACCATCTGAGTTTCAGAACTTCCTGATTTATTTTCAGTGACTATTATTTAAAAAATAAATCAATACTTTTCTTTAATCGGATCTTTAATAATTACAAGAACGTAAAAATTGGATGAGTTCTTAGCCTCGAAACTAAAGGAGTGGTACCGGCATCAAACCCAATAAGCTTTTTCAATTATTCCGGATAAACGGCCTTTCAAAAAGCAATATTTTTTATTAATACGATAAATCCTCATTTTGGGATTTTATTTTAGGAACTATGATGAAAAATGCTATACCAATGAGTAGTCTATAACAATTATTTTCGTTTTAGCCAATCTGCTAATTGCTATGAATTTTTGGATTCAATAACTTCAAACAAAGAGACAAAGGAAATATTGGGTTGGGAACTAAGGCCTTTTGAGTTTTTCTGTTTATTTTTATGTCACTATGATACACTTCTTATCTGATGAATTAATCCCTAAGGTGGATTGTTTACCCTGTTTGTAATTTGTCAACAACTATATCAGTTAACTTTTGTTGAAACTAGCTTAGTATTGTGTTTGTTATTGCACTGTGAATATGTATGAAAATAACATTCAATATCGGCATATTTTGTTGTTGTATTATTTTAAAAAAGGTTTGCTGCAGAAGCTCATAGAAAAATTTGCAGTGTTTATGAGGATGGTGCCGTAACTGAACGAACCTGTCAAAATTGGTTTGCCAAATTTCATTCAGGAAATTTTGGCATCAATGATGCCCTTCGGTCTGGTCACCCACATGAAATTGAAAAGAGCCATGTTAAGGCCTATGTTGACCAAAATTCCACCTAATCAGTGCGAAAGATTGCTATGGCCTTAAATGTGTCGCACATAAGCGTAGAAAACAATTTGCAGAAGCTCGGCTTTGTTTCCAGGCTTAATGTTTGGGTCCCACACTCTCTAACCGAAGTCCAATTGGCAACACGCATTTCTGTTTGTGATTGACTACGGAAACGGCTACAGAACCACCCATTTTTGCAATAAATTATTGAGACTTGAGAAAAATTCATATTGAATAATGGTCAATAGTAGATTAAAATAAATTTTATGACTATAATACATTGAGTGTTATTTCACCCTGAACAAGCGAAAGGACTTATTAGCCAACCCAATGCATGGAACAAACCTCAACAAGTGTAATTGTATATAATTTACGGTACTTTTATCTCTAATGTTTTTAAAAAGAGGAGAGCAATAAAATATCTTGGAGAGGAGAGGGGGGAGGTAAATGCGCCGTCGACTTAGGGAGCAGGAATGAAATTATCTGACTTCTGCTAATAGTTCAGTCAAATAAGCACAAAAGGGGTCTAGCTTGCAAAAGGTAGGGTAATTCAAATTTATTTTGTATATTCTTCGTCGTAAATCTATGACTTCCTGTCCTACAGTGTCCTTTAATAACACCCCACTTATCCCTGTTGAACAAATACGA